ATTAATTTTAATTTTTAATAAATAAAAATATTAAATATTTTTAATAATTAAATTAAAATTTTTAAAAATTTAATAATTTTAACAAAATTAACGGTCATCTTAATCATAGTTGCTTATTCGTTGTTTTTCTTTCTTGAGTTTGATTGATCACCGACGAAACTGGGCCTTCTTTAATACGTATTAATAATAGGGGGAAAGGCCCAGGAACTGAAGGATGACGCCCAAACAAGCGCGTTAATAGACCAGTTCATAAGATGCTGCCCACTGCCCAGGAGTTCTCTTGTATTGCAGATTTACTTGCAATGAAATTGCTTGCGAAATTCCTTATTTATAGGATAATGTCCTTTAAGATAATTAAAAGATGCTTTTCTTTTTCTTTTTTTGAGAAAACTTGCTTAAAAAATCACATTATTATTATTATTATTATTATTATTATTTTAGTATTAATTTTTTGGTATTAGGTAATTACATTATGTCCCGACTAATTCAAGATCGAGCCATATCAAAATCAATAAGGAATGAAGTTCTTCCAGCATTTGTTTCTTTATTTATAAGATTCAAAATTGAGACTTTACTTAAAAGAAACCGAACTCCTTCTACTCAAATCAACAGATCGTTGGTATGCTGTTATTATTATAATGATTAAAAATTCATTTATATACAAATTTTATATATCACTGTTCCTCAAAAACCCTCAAGTGGCTTTGCACATATGGAATATGGATGTAGGCGTGTTACTTACTTTTCTTAAAAGCAAGAAAAATGATTCTTCCAACGACCCTTTCCTTTCACGCGGTTGATCTTCGTCAGGATGGCTAGAAGAACATTGGTTCAAAATTGAGTTTTGTGATTTCAGATGATTTGCAAGAGGGAAGGATACCTTCTTGCAGAATGAGTTGCTAATTTACCTTGGATAATCTCAAGAACTTTATCAATACTGTGAATTTAAAATTAATAGATCTTAAATGAACAAAGTGAAATGCAAATTAAAATAGACTCATAATAAACAACTGCATCTTAATTAGATCTACCATACTCAAAACTAGATTAATTTATGTTTATAAATGGATTCGCAAATTAACCTATCATAGATCTGGAAATTTAAAAACTAATTAATTGAAAAGCATGAACGGATAACGATTAAACTAATATGAAAAACAAGACAAGATAGAGATGTGAATGCCATTAACATCAAAATAAACAATAATAAGAAAAGAAATTGTACCTTGCAGAAATTAGAATACTTGTTGTTCGTTACATTAACCGCAATTGTAGAAGTGAAAACCAGACAATGGACAATCTAAATTCCACAAAGTACTATCCTGGAAAAAGGAATTTGAAAGCTAAAGAAACAATCTAGAGAAAATTGAAACTTGTTCTGGGTTTTATGAAGAGTTGCCTGTGTATCTTGAGAAAATTTAGAGAGCTTCCATTTATATGCGTCTTGTGAATTGTCTCTTGGATGATCAAATCATGGATAACCTCCTCTTAAATTTTTAGAGATTTATGTTCTTTTTAAATTCAAGCTACAATAAACTAGATAACCTTTATCCTCCTAACCAACTTTACAGATATGCATCCCTTTAGAAAATTTAATCTCATCTTATCCCTTGACACGTGGCATCACTTAAAAAATGCAATTTATGGTGTAAACAATCACATTTATACAAAATCTCAATCATTCATCACTCTATTTTCAATAATTGGTATTTATTTACATTTATTAAAAATAATTAATTTTTGACTTAAAAAATCATAATAAACCTTAATCATTAAAAGTATAAAAAAAATGATTGAAATTTTGTATAACTATAATATACTAGATTTGGATGTAAGTGGATTACTTTTTTATTATAATTAATATTTTAAAAACTAATAATTAAATTAAATATTATATTTATATAAATTATACATGTTAATTTTTTAATTAATCTAATATTTATTTTTTTAATTAAAATATTATATGTATTGATATATATTTAATGGTAAAAATTTTATATAATTAACGAATTAATTAGATATATTAAACCAATTTTAAAATTAATTGTACGGTCTAAACGAGTAAAAGTATTAACCTAACGAAATTAAAAAAAAATGCAAACCCTAATTTAGTTTAATATAACAATTTAAAACTAAGGAAAAAAAATTCTAATTTTCAAATATCTATAAACACATGAAATTATAATTGCAAAGACTAAATTCACAAGTAAACAAAAGTAGTTTTATAGACAAATTTTAGAATTCAAATCTTGTGATCAAAACTCTAGTAAATTAATTTTTTAAAGTAATATGTAGATGTAATATGAAATATATAAGATCTTGAGGTGTATCTTTAAAATCTACTAAAAAATTGATTAGTAAGAAAAAAAAATTAGACATCAGGATTATAAATATTAAAATAAATAATAAATAAACAGATAATACTGTCTAGAGAGGATATGCATTGTGGGCAAATGAGCACATTCGCGCTCTCGTGACATCGACTATATCATACATTCTTGTTCTGTTTGTATTCCATGGATCAGAACGTCCCAACGTTGTTTGCACATAAAAAGATTACAAGAATTTTTTTCATCTCTAATTTGATTACATGACATTGACAAGAGCAAAAAAAAAAAAGAGTATAAAGGCAACAACAACAGCCTGGCAGAATTTAGCAACTCTTATCACACAGTCGCTGCTCCCATGACGCGACATTCCTAATTCTATGCCAATGGTTTTGGGATTACTTGTTAGATTAAAAGTTTAGTTGCTTATTTGATTAAAAGTTTAAGTTTAAAGCAAACTAACTAAGTAATTCAGTGATCAGTGAAGGACTCACATGGAGATCAAGGGCTGCGATGGCCCCTTGGGATTTGGAAAA